GCCTGCCCGGGCTGACCGCGTGCATCGAGCCTCAGAAACTGCCCGCGTAGCCTGCCCACTTGCCCCGCTGTCCCGCCTGTTGCGCCGTCGCGTCTGCCGCGCTGTTGTGCTGTCACGCTTGCCGAGCCTCGCGTGACAGCGTTTGCCGCGCTTTGTTGTTGCTCGGCTGCTAAACGTCGGCTACCCCGCGATTCCGAAGCCGACGTCGAACACCAGCCGCCGAAGTCATGCGATTTGTGTTGCTGTTGAAGTCGAAGCGGGTCTGGTCGGGTTTGAGTTGACCAGAATAGTATCAGGTCAGTTCTGAATTTGACCCAAACCTGACCCGTGACTCGAAATTGACACCCCTAACCATCGAGGTTATATATATATATATATATATATATATACTATATAATAATACTATAGTAACTAAAGGTAATTATGTCAATAAAATAGCTCTTTTTAAAAAACTAGGGTTATTCACACAAGCATTGCAGCACTCCCAAGAGGAATATTTCTATTTTAAAGCAAAGAGCCTATGCTGCTCAGAGTCAGTGCACATCCGGCACTTGCGACTGCACTCACTTTTCAACGAGAATTATTGTGTTGCGGAATTCAAATGATTCAGTTCATTCAAGTGGCATGCACTTCATCGGATACGCTCGGGGTGCTTTACCTCCAAACAAGAAAAAGACATCAGGTTGTGGTCCTATAAGGAAAATTTTCAAAAATGCATAAAATTTTTCCATAAACACTAAATAATCTTTATTTTATTTATTTATTTATTAATGTGTACGTAATGATGGCCATACATTCCTATATTTGGTACGTATTATCTTATGAGGTTGCATAGACTACAATTTGCCTTAGTTGGGTCGCTCACAGCAAGGCATATGAAATTAAATAATATTGTTGATCAAAGAGTTTGTGTTGTGTGAGGCCACAAGCATTATATAGATTATTTGTATATGACTTAATGTTGGATGATTGTTTCTTTAATATCTTATAGTATCTAAAATAAATAGGTACATTGATCATTTTTAGGTAAGTGATTGATCTTTCTATTTTTTTTAAAATTTAAAATACTGATTATGCAAGTTTTTATCCATCTAAACTATCATAGAGTTGAATTCTCATTTAAAAAGTCTAAATAAATAATGACGATTGTAATTTAATTTTTAAGCCCAGTTAGTGTTAGGTCTGCTCTACCTTTCTGTAGTCATTGGCGTAAATGCGAATACATCCTAATTTTCCATAAATCGGCACGGTGCATCAGAAGGGCATGTTTTTATGTGGCGTCATCTAAGGCATACTTTTATGTAATCTTAATGGCGACTGGAGTCACTCACTTTTACAGATTATGACTTCAGTTTAGTCGTTTCACATTGTCTATAAGCAGTCGAGAGCTTCATCGGTCTGAGTATGCGGGGTAAGTAACAGGAGTTCTAGTATGCTGCTAATCAGGCTAGGCTTATTTTGGTTATTTGACTGACAGTCGGGAGCTCATTTAATATTTCTAAGATCTAAAATAAATGATAATGATATTTTTAGGTGAAGTGATAGATTATTTCTAATTTTTGATAAATTTAAAATACAGGCATTATCAAGTTTTTATCCCACTACTATAGAGTCAAATTCTATTTAAATCTAATAAAAATGACGTTCTAAATTTTTTTCTAACAAGACATTTTTAGATCTGCTGCTTACTTTCTATGCATTGCTAAATGCATACTTCTACTCTGCTAATCGGATCATCGAAGAGGCTGATTTTTTTTGTGGGCATCTAAGGCAACTCTCAGTAATCTTATTGGACTGGAGTCACTCAACACTTTTCAAGTATATACTCGTTTAGTCGTTTCACATTTTGTCTATAAGAGTGAGCTCTCATCCGTCTGAGTAGGGGTGTAAAACGAAGTCGAGTACTGCCTAATCGGCTAAGCTTATTTGTTATTACTTGACATCGAGCTCATTTATTAAGCCCAAGCTCGACTTGTTAAACAATTCATAGGCTCGAATCGACTCGAATTGCTCGAGCTCATTTAGAAAGCTCGAGCTTGACTCAATGTTGAGCTTTAATGGCCAACATTCTACGTTCATATAATCATTTGCAGGTCAGACCAACTTGTATAATATTAGAAATTTTAAAATAAATAAATAATTTCTTTTTAATGATATTATTTATTAGCTAACCTATAGGCTAATTGCCACGTGGCAATTTTCATCCTTCCCTCTCGACTCACCTTACCTACAGAAAGGCTGAGTCTTCTTTGAAGCTACTACCAACTGGCGAGAAACCTTAACGAGTTTTTTCATTTTCCCTTTTTGATTTTTTTTTTTAATTTCAGAAAATTATTCTGATAAAATTAATTAATATAAAATTCAGAAATAAGTATAATTTTATTTTAAATTAGCTTCCAATATAAAATTTTATAGTAATTTGAATTGATTATATTTTAAAATTACATAATATGTAATTTCCATATTATATTATTTTTTATGACAATATATAGTTAATTATAAATGATATTTTAATACAATTAATTTAGTAAATAAATATATTTAATTATTAAATTAATATTTATAAAGATGAGCTGATTTGGATATAATATTTAGACTACTATAAATAAATATTTAAATTATTTATTAAAATTAATATTTTTTAATTTTTAATTTTGAGTCCTCTCCATTGCTCCTCATTTATTTAAGATAAATAATTGGCTAAAAAATATTCTATTTAAAATATAACTAATTTATATACATTATGTTTATTTAAAAATAATAATAATATGATATTTTTACATAAATGTCCACCAATTTCTATTATTTACAAATTTCTCTGAAATTAGTGTGAACTGAGAAGGAAATTTACATGGAACATACACCGGTTAGTGTACCACCCTATATAAGGAGAAATTCTGTCCCGCTGATCCCCTATGAGTCCTTGAAGGAGAGAGAGATGGAGAGAGCGGCCGATAGGCAGAGGGTTCTTCTGCGGCATCTGCAGCCCTTGTCTTGCAGCGATCCTCCATGCCTCACGGTAATTAGCTCATTCTGTAGATGGATCAGCTTCTATTGGGAGATTTCTTCGTCTCATCGTTTGCTTGATCGGATTTGGGCAATCTGGGTTTAAATGGTTTTGGTTTTGATTTCACCTGGTTTGGGGTAAGAAGGGGGTTGTTCTTCTTGCGCAGGGATCTATTTGTGCGGCTACGGAGAATTTGGTGTATCAGAGGAGCAATGGCTTTGATGACGATGTTGTTATCGTGGCGTAAGTTATTCGTCTTGTGCTTGAACTAATGTAGTGGTTGTTTTATGAGTATTCTGCATATATTTTATTCGAACTGGGGTGGTTTGCCTATTTGCTTTAATCTTATGCAGTTTTAAATTGCTTTTGGAAGGATCCTAGCTTGTTGACTACAAGTTCTTGTGTTGAAGGCCTTAATTTATGACGGTCTGAGCGTGAGTTTATTATTATTTTTTCTCAAAATAAAGAAAAAATCCTTATTTTTTATGGCTAGTCGTGAGCAGTAAGACCGGGTAATTTCAGAGTGTTTTTTTTATTGTTTTATTTATATTTTGATGTGACATAAAGGGGTATTGATGCCAGGTTATTTTTATGTTGTTTTTTTTTTCTTTTCTTTTACTATGAGAGAAGTGGTCAGTCAGGATGCATTTTTGGCACGGTTGTGCGTGATCGGCGCGGCGGCATGCATCGCTGATCGCTGGATGAGATTGGGGAGAGGCTGTGTGCAGCGGCAGATGCTCGTGGGGTGACTGGCCGTGAGAGGGGGCGGGAGCAGGGTAGTCCGGTGGCAGGCATGGAGCTGCATGAGATCATTGAAAAAATAAAAATATTTTGAGTGTTTTTAAAAACAGTATGAAATAAATAAAAATAAAACACATTCCAAAGAAATTTATTCAAAAAAAAAAAAAAACTTGGTGTGATTTTAAACAGTTTAGTATCTATGCTTCTTGAGCATGTGCCTTGTATCCCCATGTGAATCTTGTCTTAATTTGATTTGTCTTATACAAAGTAACTATTAAGATCTTTTGTAAATTCCCATTTTTCTGTAATGTTTTAAGAGTATAATTACTGGATCCAAAATTTTCTTGTGAAAATTGGGGCAGACTTTATCAGAGGATTTAGGGAATGTTATGATTTCTTCAGCCAAACTAAGTTGATTTTTTTTAAGGAGGGTCCAGTTGGGTTGACAAAATAGAGAGAAAGAGGGACAGAGAGCAAGGGATTTATGAAAAGCCCCTTCAGATGTGACATGAGAATATTCTCTTCCGACTTTTTTTTTTGGGGACATTTAAGCCATTAAGGTAAACTTGTATACATATCAAATATACAAACTTTGAATGCAAGAGCTCTTGATTAATAGTCAAAGCTCCCAACGAATAGATTGCGTTCTTTGGCTTTGCTATCTGGATTAAACTTTAGAAACCCCTGTTATAGGTGTGATGTCAATTCAACCTTTTTACATGGTGACTATATAATAGAACTAATAAAGTTTATATCCAATTATATGGTCAATATGGGAGGTCATTCTTTTTTAGGAGAGTTATCAAATCACTTATTTTTAAAGTCCGATCATGGGTGAGATCTTTTTTTTTGGCTGATCCTAAAGTTCCTTCTATTGGCAACTGAACTTGTAAGTTGGATCCAATGGTGTGGGATCTCTGTTTATGATCAAGGCAATTCTGCTCTTCCAATCACCATGATAAGCTCTTGAATCAGATTTTGAGACATGTTCTTAGTATTTTATTAAGTATTATCATTTGTAATGTAGCGCAAATCCTGAGTTGCAATTCCTCTTCTGCATCTTGGTGCACTTGGAGATAATTTTCATATCTTCATCTAATAGAATCCATGTATTAAGATGCTACGCACACACTTTGTTGAAAGCTTGCACTTCGTAAGCAAACAATACAAAGGACCATTTCTTCTATGATTTAACATTTGTTTTTGTACTTGCAGTGCTTGCCGAACTGCAATTTGCAAAGCTAACAAAGGAGGTTTCAAGGATGCACACGCAGAAGACCTTCTAGCTCCTCTTCTAGAGGTTTGTTTAAATATTACGATAGAAAAATGTTGGAACTTGCATCAAAGACCAGATATCAATTTGTTTGAGAAAACTTTCTAAGTTTCACTATTTTGTTTCTGGCCTTAATTAGGAGTTGTTGCAGAAGACTAAAGTGAACCCAAATGAAGTTGGTGATATCATTGTTGGTACCGTCCTGGCCCCTGGGTCTCAAAGAGCTATTGAGTGCAGGATGGCTGCCTTCTATGCTGGTTTCCCAGGCATTTTTCTCCAATTTCTTCTTCTTGAACATTCAATGTCTCGTTTTTAGCATTTAATTCTTAGCTTATACTGTATTCTCTCCCCAAATAAACCAGAGACTGTTCCTCTTAGAACTGTGAACCGACAATGTTCATCTGGTCTTCAGGCTGTTGCAGATGTTGCTGCTGCTATTAAAGCAGGATACTATGACATTGGTAAAATAATTTTCTGATGTGTTTTATTATTCAGTTCTTATGGTACTTCAGAAATTATGTTGTTTTTCTTCTTTTGCCTTTCTGTGAAAGGTATTGGAGCTGGTTTGGAGTCTATGACTTTGAACAAAGTTGGATGGGAGGGGTCGCCTAATCCAAAGGTTTCTCTCTGTTTTCCTCACGTTTTGTTCTGACTGTATGCCATAATATACTTCTTATGTATTGGATGATCAGGATTAAAACCTTTATTTCTAATGAACTTATTCGATCTCAAGGCCAAATATCTTCAACAAGTCCAAGATTGTTACCTACCAATGGGCGTTACATCTGAAAATGTTGCAGAACGCTATGGCATTACAAAGGAGGAGCAAGACCAAGCTGCTGTGAGTGCCATGCAAAGATACTTTTGTTCTTCACCCCATGCTGTATTATGACACTCCTGAACATTGATCAGGTCGTATCTCATAAGCGTGCAGCTGCTGCAATTGCTTCTGGCAAATTCAAAGAAGAAATTGTACCTGTCACAACAAAGGTGAAATTTTCATTATATTAAGGATCTGCTTTTTAATTGTTGGTTTTTTCTTATTCCCACTGTTTAGTTGTTCTCATATTGGAAAGAGCTAGGGATTATAATAAAAAATCATTAAACTGAAAGCAACTCAGCTAATAAATTTCAAGCAGGTTCTCCCAAAAGAAAAAAAGCATGTCCAACTAGATGTTCAACACAAGGGGCCACCCCTCGATATCAGGGGTTCATGTACCTATTTCAACAAAAAGTACCTAAAACCACATAAATGTTTGAATAGTTTAGAATGTAACTCACTGTAATCAAACAAGATGCTCAGAGGGCTTTATCTTGTGTATTTTTTATCATTAACTAAACTAAGTTGAGGTGATCGCCAATAATGTTAAAATAAATGTGAAACATATTATCATAACAAAGCCTAACAGGGTACCAAAACCCACCACCATTTCATGGTCCCATTTACTAATTATTCTCTCTCAAATTTGGAAATCTGCAAACTTCATACATATAATAAAAAACTGCGTATAAGTGAGAATTATAGTAATTTTCATGCCCCATATATATTTGTTGTTTTTTTTCAAGAAACTGTATTATTGTTCTTGTGAAGATCATGGATCCAAAGACTGGAGTTGAGAAGGTGGTTACAGTCTCCATGGATGAGGGTGTTCGCCCTAATACATCCTTGTCAGATCTTGCAAAACTCAAACCAGCATTTAAAAAGGGTGGAAGCACTACAGCAGGTGCAGGATACTTGTATATTTGTTTCAGTAATTTTGATTATCTGCGGCTTGAATTTTAGTATTAATTCAACATGTACAATTTTGCAGGCAATGCTAGTCAACTTAGTGATGGTGCTGGGGCTGTCCTCCTCATGAGGAGAGATGTCGCAATACGAAAGGGACTTCCCATTCTTGGTATTTTCAGGTTTGTTTTTTTCTTTAAAATGGATTTGTTTATTTCTGTCCTGTTAAAAATCATTAAGATGATGTATTTCTAATTCATCTAGCATTATATTTTACTTTGAATTCTAGATGATTACCAGTAGTTTTAGTTTTTTTGTCATTAAAATTGACAAAACGAAAAAACTGTGGAAAAGATTAAATCGCATAGTCACTTAAATATCTATGTTGTCTTTGGTACAGTCTGTTGACATACCTGCCTACCTTAGTGTTGGTAGGCGTGCGTTTTTTTTCCATCTCTTAAGAGCTATACTTGAATTTGCTTGAGCTTCTTAATGGATTATGATGACACATTCTCTGTTATGAAATTAAGACATTTTTATGGAAAACGGCTATCTAAGACACCCCCACCCCCCAACTACCTCCTTTTTGCATGCCATATTCTTCTTTGCTGTTCAATCAACTTGGCAATTTGAAAGTTAATTTTTATGTTTACAAGCCTTCAAAGATCCCATTTCATCACCTCCGAGGTTCTGATTTCTCCTTGTACCAAGCGAGAGCTGCCTTTGGTAGAATCTGGTGCATTTATATACTTATTATTGTTTCTTATGGTTTCTGCAGTTTAGCTTTCTTTGCTTGATAATATTTAACTAATTTCCAGTCGCTTACTCCCAAAAAGGAAGGGCTTCATCTTCCTAGAGAACGCAGTGGGCAAAGGATTAGGGTATCTTTCTGGGTTATCCTAGTATTTGTCCCTATTTCAAGGAGTATTTGGAAAATGATAAATTTACTTTATAGTTTGTAGGGGCATAGGGTTTATGCCTGCCATCTCTTTTCTACACACAATTACAAATCTCGCTTTTCTTTTGCTCTGTTATCTCTCAAGTGGTCATTTATCATATTATCTTCCTAGATTGTGTTATTTTACGACCATTCAGCTGAACCTCAGTCCTGCATATTTCTAAATAATAATGTCTTTATAGTAACTTGAAAGACTGCCATCATCATAAATTTTATGACCGTGCTGCTACTACTACTACTTGTAGGAGCTTTGCTGCAATTGGAGTTGATCCTGCTGTGATGGGCATTGGTCCTGCTTTTGCTATACCTGCTGCAGTAAGAGCAGCTGGCCTTCAAATTAAAGATATTGACCTATATGAAATAAATGAGGTAATATTTAAATCCTACTAATAAAAATCTCGGTTCCCATGCATTTGTATGCACATATTTTCTACCCCGTAGTGACAAACTTGTTTGTGATGCATCAGGCTTTTGCATCTCAGTATGTATATTGCATCAAAGAGTTGGGGCTTGATCCCGAAAAAGTCAACGTTAATGGCGGTGCCATTGCTCTTGGCCATCCATTGGGTGCAACAGGTATTTTAAGACTCTATTTTCAAGTATCTGGACATTGCAATAAAAATATAGAAAAACAGAAAAACCTTATCGTCTTATCTTTTTTTGTCTTGATCCTTCCTTTTGAAAAATTTGATCTGATATTAATAGTAGTCATCATCTCTTAGGCTTCGTTTGGGATGGCTTTTTTGCTGCTTCTTAAAGCAGCTTTTTTGTACAAAAATTTTAATTTTAATTTGTGTACTAAAAAGCTGCTTTAAGTAGTAAGAAAACCATCCCAAATGAAGCCTTAGTTTCATAGATCAACTTTTTGGTAGTAACATTACATTTAAGATTTGATGTGTTGCCTATAGGCATAAAAACAATCTTTAGTATAGGATGGGAATTGGGAAATTTGAGCTGTTGTTCATGGCAACCATCGTAATCTTTTTTTTTTTTTTTTCTTTTTCGTTTTGGATTAAATTGAGGGCTTAGCTGATATGGACTCCCATGGGTGGTTCGGTTCTTGTAGTTGTGGCATATCTTCTGGTTCATGTTGCGTTCAGCCATGTAGCCTTGTAATCCTGTTGCAGGTTTCAGTTTCAGCAAAAGCGTTGGCTATGTAGTAACCTATGTGGCTCCTGTGTCGGGTGCTCTCCTGTAGCTTCTTGTTTCATGCATGCACTATACAGGTTTATGCGATTATTGCATGACTTCTTATTATTGAGAAGTACCTTTTTGTTTGGGTACTACCTAGACTTACCATTTGGCCATTTTATAGAATCATATTTGACATGACCTAACCATGGAGCTCAAATAAACAAAGTGAATGGATGGTTTTTAGATCATCTGACATAGCATTTACATTTTAAGATAAATATCTATACATTCATGTTAGAGCCCTATTTTTATTTCACATTGAAAATTTAAGTCACCTCTAGTTGATATATCCTCCATTGGAAAAACAAGCACAACTCTTACGTATGATACTGCTTGTGGGGGAAATGTAACTAACATACCATTAGTCGATACATCTCCTATCAGCATAGTCGGGCACAACTCTTACATACGCTACCATATTTGGTTGTTAGAGTCATAATAGGTGAGTACATTAGCAACTCCCAACTAATATTATAAGGAGGATTCTATTAATCAACATGCACATGCAAGTATTCATATATATGATTTAGATATATTCACTTTACATGTGATAAATCTTGTGGATAGGAGCGATGCTATAGAATTAAAATATCACATATTAAGCAATTATAATTAAGTAATTGTAGCTCAACATGCACAGACCTTTTAGCAACTTAGCATAGCATTCTAGCTTGTAACTAATAGCAGTATGTCCATTAACATGGTATAAAAGAGAATATTGAAACTAAATAGCATTTCTAGCATTATAGATAAATAATATGAAGAAAGAAACTCGAATCAAAACCATATGGCATTAAATTTGATCCATTTAACTATCAAAAAAATAAAATAAAATAAAAAAAGAGATGTCAGCATTATTCTTAATTATAAAAGAAATTACCCACTTTTATTCTCTTTTGGAGAACTAGCTTATTGACACCAATTTCAACTCATCCTTGATCAAACCTAATAAAACATATATCAAGTAATCACATTAAGTATGACTCTAAAAAAAATATAAAAAATATAAAATAAAAATAAAAATAAAAACATTAAGTATGACTCTTATCATGATTTAATCTAGTCCTTATGCTAGCAACCCAATTACATGAGTATTGTTTCTTAACCATAATATGCATAGATACATTGCTTTTTTTGTGCCTTGTAAATAAATTCCCCACACAAATATAGATCATCCTAAGGTAGACTTTACGATCCATAATTGAGCTTGCCCAATCAACATTAGTGAAAATCACAAATTTTTTATTTGAGTTTCTTTTGAAGATTAATTATTCTTTTGGAGTCATTCTCAAATATCTTAGGATTTTGGAACTAACTTCACAATGATATGATTTTCGATAAGAATATTCATAAACTTACTAGCCTAGTGAAGATGGTTGCATTTTTCAATTGATCCAGAAGGTCATCAATGCACGATGGTGTATAATAGTTCTTTACTCTTATTTTATTAAGATTGTGATTGTTAGCATATAATCTGTAGGTGTTATCTTTCTTTGGCATCATCAAAATTGGTGATCCGTGAGGAGAATTGTTAGGCTATATAACTCCTTTTTTCAATAACTTTGCAGCCTATATTTTGATCTCTTCATTCTTGATGACCAAGTTTTAGTATATTGAAAGGTTTGGTAACGGCACGTTTAAAATCAACTCAATATGATGCTTTGTTGACCTCTTTGGTGGAAACCCATGTGCCTCCTAGAAGAGCAATGCATATGCTTATAACATTTGTAGTTGTAAATTCTTTGTCATGCCTAATGGAGATAGAGCAATACTATTTTCTTCCTCCACAACAAGCGTGATAATCATACATAAGAATTTTTGTGTAACATCTATAATTTTACCTACTTGTCTCACCCTCACGACATTTGTTGTTAGTACCATATAGTCTTTCAGCAAATTGTTCTTCCCATCCTCAGTCATCTAACAATGGTAAGGACATCTGATGTGAAACAATCTCATGAGAAAATGATTTACTTAAGAAAAAATTTGCACTCTTAGATTTAGAGGTGATAATAAGCAAGATCTTATGCGGAATTAAACGATAAGATAAATATTAAATGGCACTTAGCTTAGGTTAAATCACATGAATAAAAGTTAAGTTCAAAAGATAGCCAACTTAATCCGACATTGCATACATGGACCGTTCCAACAATAAATTCCAATACTAACAATAAGATTAGTCTATGAAAGATCCCTCACACAACTCTTCCTATTACTAGGTTCTAGCGGCGAATAATTGACATGATCTTCATGAATCCATTAAAAACCATAAACGAAAAGTAAACTAGGAAGATAAGAGCGTTAGGAGAAGAATTTCACCCAACAAATGAAGTTATACAACGTTCCGGTGGTGTTTTGTTGGTTGGATCGGAAGTAGGTGGCCTGGAGCAGATTCCGGACAGCAATTTTGATTCTCAAGGATGCTGGATAGCAGTTTTCTAGGCTCCAAAATTCTGGACAGCAGCAAGGAGGTATTCTTGGACAGTTTTCTTGTTGATTTGGGCACTCCTGGACATCAAACGGGAGCTCCCAAATTATTGGACAGCAAAGGAAACTTGCTGGAAATCTCTGGGCTGCAATGGGGACTATTCAATCAGCAGATCAGCGGGATGAAATTGCTGATTTCTCAGTTCTGAAGGAACAGGTGGCTGGCGGGATATTCCTGGACAGCAAAACAGGAATCTTTGGACTGTGGGCCAGCTGCTGGGTGAAGGCAGAAAATTTCTCAGTAGATCACGGACTAGGGAAGAGTGATATTAGGGAAAAACCTTCTAAACGGAAACCTGAATTTATTTCAGATTAATTTAAATAGGTATTTGAATCTTAAGATCCAAATAAAGAGGAGGATTAATGCTCATTTAATGGAGAGAGCCAAGAGGGGGGCCGGCGGCATTTATGAGGGGGTAGGGCTTGGGAAAACTGAAAGGAATTTCAGTTTTTAAGTGAGAATGGAGGGAATTATCTTGAAATTAAGGTTTGAATTTTTCCCAACAATAATAGGGAGGGGGATTCTCTAATAGGGCAATAATGGGAAGCCCATATGAAGGCGTCCGTGGCCCGGGCATTAATGGCAAGAGGCGAATGTGGGGCATGACTAGGATGTCCATGCCTTTAGTCACTAACTTGTAACTCTTAGGTATTATGAAAGTAATTAGAACAAATCCCATTTGAATTTGAAATTCAAAAGAATTGATTTTCAAAGAATTGTGTCCAAAGCAATTGAATGACAATATTAGGAAGATTTCACAATCAAATTCATGTTGGATTTTGGAAATTATCGAAAGAATCTCGTCCAAAGATCAAATTACCCAAATTAGGCAAGGATTTCATAGGGAGAAAGGACGCGTAGCGCAGTGTTTAGGCCGGGCAGATATGAGGGGTCGTGGTGGCGCTAGTGCGATCGTGGCCGTGACATAACGTTGAGAGGTGGACTAGGGGAAATACTTGGGTGGCATGCAAGTAGGGGAGAAAGGAGCAGTAGAACATGAACAAGAAAGTAACAAGAAAGAAAGATAGAGCATAACAAACGAAAAACTCACAACAGAGTACGTAAGAACTATCGCGAGACCTCGGACTCTTCACAAAGCATTGTGACGAATTGGCTATTGCGAATTAACCCTCCTCTTGGGCTTCTCCTCTCATGAACTCGATTTAAGGAGATCACACGTGAACCTCACTAACGAGCATAACAAGAATCATAAAACTTTTCATCTCATCCGAGATCTAATCATCATCCCCTTTCCAGCTAGGTTAAGGGGAGGGCTTTAATATTTCATGCCAACATACGATTGTGATGAGGAACAATAAAAAAGACACAATTGCCCCTAGGGCAAACATAAAACAAAGCCCTCAAGTGAGGGTAGAAATGGAAAAATACAAATAACAAATAAAATACATGAAAATAAATAGACACGATCGTAGCCGTTGATCTTCAATGTCCTCATCAAGGACATCAATACAACACCTCATGCATATGATGCAGGTATGGGCTACTAAAGATGACTTGATAGGTTCAGTCTAACTACCTTGCATTATATCTCATTGATGTAGTGATTGGTTATTACAAATTGCTACAGACTTTGGCAATCTATCTTAAGCATAGATCCCTTTTGAATCCATCCCAAAGAGTAAGAATTATGTGTATGTGTCTTTAAACCCAATCTTGTCACCAACTCGATAGTGATTAAGGTCTTCTTAATGTTGATCAAATTTTGCATGGCTCTGTATCTTTAGGCTGAATAACTCTCCTTATGTGTCCGCATTGGACAAGGATTCCATTGATTTTTAAAGTCAAAGTCATTTCCTCTTAAAAGATTTTGGGGATTATCCTTTTCTCCCATAATTTTTTTCTTCTATAGCCATTGCCATAATATTATCCTAACAGGTCGATAATAGGCAAACGACAAATTTCTCAAAGGATTTAGGAAAAAAAACTAGAGTTGTTCATAGTGTTTGTGCTTCCTCAAGGTTAACTCCCAAAGTCATTGTTGTCTTCTAAACTCCATGGTGTAATCCTGATAGATTATCTTTGATATTGTCTTAGACTATCATTTTTTTCGTCAATCCTCAACATAAATAATTGGTGTAACTCAGAAAATTGTATACGTCTTGGAGGTCCGTCGCAACACTACACACGATATTAGTCAATAAACCTGCATTTCTACCTTTCTACGTAGTTCTTGTTCTGCCCGTCAGGAGATCCTCCCCGAGAAGACCCTCGGAGTGGTCCTCAGCCCTCCTCTCAGTGAATAGGCCTCGAGAGGTCTCAAATTATTCTTACCTTCATGTCAACCTCATATATGATGTGTTAGAATATCTCCTCCACACCATCGCTCTTTTGGCATCGTTTACGTACCAACCCCGATGATTGTTGCCCCGTTAGCATCTTTGTCTCTATGATCTCATTTTCAACGACCTTGATAGCGTATCCCGCATCACGGCATGCAATGCCTAACACTACATCCTATAATCATTATCTTGCAATGGTACCATGTAGCAGGTACCCCTAAAGAGAAAATTATGGACTTGTAAGCACTCTTAAAAAGCAGCAGGTCAAATAAGAAAGGGGGGCAAGGAGACTAAAGGGGGCACACAGTGAGAAAACAACGAGTTGGAAGTTGCAGACTTCAAACCATTCCTCCACTAGTGCGAAGTCATATTCGGGCTTCTTATCTCTTCTTCTTCCCTCTTAAAGGGGAGAATCATAATAGCCTGGACTATAAGGTTTTTTCCACCTTTTCTCCTTAAAGGGATCACTTGGATGCTTTCTTTGTAACCACTCTCTAGGTTGAATAATAGCATTTCAATCGCATAGTGGACATAGGTCGCTTGACTGAACCACTATAAAATTCTTCGGTGTCCAATCTTGCTCGTTCCTATTTTTTTGAATCTAGATGATTGTGCTCCTCTCCCCTCCTCATCAAGTAGCTAACTCGGGTTGCGCTTTCACTTCTCTCTCTTTATGAACTTTTGATGTGTATATTCTTCGTTATTATTGGCTCAATGAGTTTTCTTCGTTAAAATTCTTTTGCATCATCGTCCATGAGATTTTTTTGTTCTTGCTTCTTGCGTTGAGGAAAGGAGACATAGAAGAAGAATGTTAGCATCGTCCTGCCACAAGTGAACCTTGGAGTAGCTACACCTTTGTTAATCACGAGTAACTGGACGCAAACCTTGACGAGCTTTGTTAGCAAATCACCAACCTCTCCAACCTTATCAATGTCTCCCTATAAAAGCCACCAACTTCCGCCGCCCAGCCAGAACAAACACAAACTGCAAGAATCCCATAAAGATAAATGTTACCTAGTCATTGCTCCTAGCACATTAACTTGTTCGAACTCTCCTTTCACACCATATATCATCAAAAGAGGTGGTCATACTGAAGTTCAAGTCCACTTGGCTAGAATCTCGTTGGGGAACTTCTGACTTTGCAGATCACTTTGATCAATTTAGTTTTATGTAATTTCTTTCATTTTTTTTAATTATCTTGTATGTAGATCTTCCCTTCAATATTTTTTTTCTCATAAGCATAGTATGTGGGTCTCATCTGAGTTGGTGTTTCATTCAAGGAAACGATACACTAATCATGATTTTTATTAAATTGAGCCATTAGCCTTATGTTTGTATGGCGAAAATGAGAGACACTATGATAGGAATCCGATTTCCATATAGAAAAAACAACAATAGCTAAGAGAAAATGCAACGGAAATCAGCGAGAAAGAAAGAGGTTATGGGCTAATTTTATTGATATAGACACAACAAATCATGATACAAGTTGATATTCTATTCGAGAGATAGATCGGCTCACCGCAAATCTTTGGTGCTATTAGGAACAACTTCAAATAAAAACTATAGAAAACACACATATCACATAATGAAAATAAAACAACACAATTAACTCTAATATAAACCTTCACACGTTCCTCCCAAAATTGAATTTAAAGCGGTCATTTTTCCCCCTCTTTCTCTCAATAAATCTTTGCCTCTCAAATCTGAATTCAAATCAGCCATCTCTCCCTAAAAAAAACTTCTTAATTCCCTCTCAATCAAATCAGCCCTCTTTCCCTAAAAAAACTTGCATAATTCCCTCTCAATCAAATCAGTCATCTTTCCCTAAAAAAACCTTCCTAATTCTCTCTCATTTTCCATTTTTTATGATATATAATTAAAGTGAAATTAATCTTCTTTGCTTTTCTTACCCGCCGCCCATCCTAGTGGAGCCCACATGCTCAGCTCGTCCATCATACTATTCTTCATTACCTTTTAAGGAAAGGCTTTAGGTAAACATTATTCGGTCCATCCAATAGGAAAAGTAACATAACCCTTTTTATTGAGTTTTAAGGTCTGTTTTTTTGTAGGGTGGAGTTATTTTGGTTCTTCCGTTTTAGTAAACTAGCTTCAATGACAAGAAAGCCATCACAAACGGATGGACAGGACCGAGTGTTGTTATTTTACAAGCAGTCTCTGGCTATTTGAACATTGATACAGATCATCATCATTAGCCTTATCCTTGCCATTGAAAGTTGTCTCTCTGAATCTTTATTTTTCAATCTTCTTGATAAAAAAAAAAAACTATTTGAGATATTAATTTTTTTTTTGCAAATTATATGAACAGCTTCTACTCGAATAACTTCACTTTTAAAACTTTTTTTCCCGAAAAGGACCATAAACTGCTATTTGGAATATGAGTTAGGCTTTGTTTGGTATGGCATAAAAGTAGTTTTTTAATAAAAAAATAAAATTTATACTAAAAATTTATTTTAAAAAACAGTGAAAAATTTCGTCCCAAACAAAACCTTAATTTCATCTGCAGCACGCTTGAACCTTCTTCGGTCCCATACCCTCTTTGTTTTCAATAGGCAATGCAACATTCGAATTGTCACTTGATTAGTTCTATCAGATGCTTAGTTGTAATCTATCTATATAAGTAGCTCTGTATTGATGTGAAGCTTCAATCTGTGTAAATGTTGTCTTGCGTTAGAATTTGATCTGTTTTCGTAGTAACCTGTATGCTCTCATTTCAAAAAATTTCTCCAACACTGAAATGGCTGTGCATGCTTTCCTCAGGTGCTCGCTGTGTTAGTACATTGTTAAATGAAATGAAGCGCAGGGGCAATGGTTGCCGATTTGGAATTATTTCCATGTGCATTGGTACCCCTCTCTCTCTCTCTCTCTCTCTCTCAATTGAAAATCAACATAACTCGTCTTGATATGTTGGTTGGGAGCTTTGACTGTCAACCAAGAGGTTTAAAATTCGAAGTTTGCCTATGTGATTTGTGCGACTTTAACTTAATTGGCTCAAATGTGGCAAAAAAAAAAAAAATTTTGAAACCAAACATTCTCTCTCTCTCTCAATTGAAAACCAAACAATTTTGTTATTTGTTGGAGTAAGCTGCTAGTGAAGCTATATGTATGGTTTTCAATTCCAATAAAAACCAATCAAATTGGGCTGCTTGGGATTGTTTTCCAGCCAGACCTCTACTAAACTGGTTTATTGACTGGTTTCGATAATTTTGGAGGCCAAGCATCAATGGAAAAATTATTTTGTGCGGACACCAGACGGCGTCTGGAGACCGATTAGAATGTGCCACTTCATTTTTTTGCTCAGTACTGGATGACATGACACGTTCTGGCTAGTCTCCAGACTGCCCGGTGTTCGCACAGAATAATTTCTCTGCATCAATGAAACAGCTGAGGTCTCTAAAATTTAAAAATAAAAGAAAATGGCTTGCATATCCTGATCAGAATTTATTCAGTATGAGTTCTAAAACTCTTAGGACTTTTTTTTAGATGGTAAAATATAAAATTTGATTGATCTTTCAGGTATTGCATTCATCAAAAGAATAAATAGATCAAAGGCTTCGAAATCCATTTTGGTCCAATTTTCTCCTACTAAACTCAATCAAAACTGCCAATCTTTTTACTGAAATTCATCAAAAAAACAAAAAAAAAATCAATATTTAATTATTAAATTATGCCATATTATATTTTGAATATACCAATTATCATGTTAAATAGTTTTGAAAACCTGAAATAATTGAAACTGAACATCAAAGTTTAAGGTTCCATTTGAGACGATTTTTTTATTGTTTCTTTAAGCAACTTTTCACGCCCCAAATGAAGCCTAAAATTGAATCTATCGATTTTCAGTACTCATATGATTGAGGCTTCATTTGGAACGACATTCTTATTACTTTTTAAATCAGCTTTTTAGTTTAAAAATTAAAAAAAATTGTACTAAAAAGCTATTTTAACAAAGCCTGAAGCTGAGATTCAGACTGAAAATCCTTCTTTGTGCAGGCTCTGGAATGGGAGCTGCAGCTGTTTTTGAAAGAGGAGACAGTTGATCGGTTCAGTAATGTGCAGATTGCCCATTCTTAATGTCTGCTATTTGAATTTGACTGTTGAGGCAGAACTCTGTTGTTTTTGTGCATTGGTACCTCTCTCTCTCTCTCTCTCTCTCTCAATTGAAAATCAACATAACTCGTCTTGATATGTTGGTTGGGAGCTTTGACTGTCAACCAAAAAGTTTAAAATTCGAAGTTTGCCTTAACTTAATTGGCTCAAATGTGGCAAAAAAAATTTTTTGAAACCAAACATTCTCTCTCTCTCAATTGAAAACCAAACAATTTTGTTATTTGTTGGATTGAGCTGGTAGTGAAGCTATATGTATGGTTTTCAATTCCAATAAAAAGCAATCAAATTGGGTTGCTTGGGATTGTTTTCCACCCAGACCTCTACTAAACTGGTTTATTGACTGGTTTTGATAATTTTGGAGGCCAAGCATCAATGGAAAAATTATTCTGTGCGGATCTTGTACGGCATCCAGAGACCAACCAGAATGCGTCACTTCATTTTTTTTCCTTGGTATTGAATGACGTGGCGTGTTTTAATTGGTTTCCAGGCCGTCCGGTGTCCGCACAGAATAATTCAACAGCATCGATGAAACAGCTGAGGCCTCTAAGATTTAAAAATAAAAGAAAAGGGCTAGCATATCTTGATCAGAATTTATTCAGTATGAGTTCTAAAACTCTTAGGACTTTTTTTAGATGGTAAAATATAAAATTTGATTGATCTTTCAGGTATTGCATTCGTCAAAAGAATAAATAAATCAAAGGCTTCGAAATCCATTTGGTCCAATTTTCTCCTACTAAACTCAATCAAAACTGCCAATCTTTTTACTGAAATTCATAACAAAAACAAAACCAATATTTAATTATTAAATTATGCCATATTATATTTTGAATATACCAATTATTATGTTAAATAGTTTTGAAACCCTGAAATAATTGAAATTGAACATCAAAGTTTGAGGTTTCGTTTGAGACGATTTTTTTACTGCTTCTTTACGCAACTTTTTACGCCCCAAATGAAGCCTGAAATTGAATCTATCGATTTTCAGCACTCATATGATTGAGGCTTCATTTGGATCGACTTTCTTATTATTTTTTAAAGTAACTTTTTAGTTTAAAAATTAAAAAAAATGGTACTAAAAAGCTATTTTAACAAAGCCTGAAGCTGAGATTCAGACTGAAAATCCTTCTTTGTGCAGGCTCTGGAATGGGAGCTGCGGCTGTTTTTGAAAGAGGAGACACAGTTGACCGGTTCAGTAATGTGCAGATTGCCCATTCTTAATGCCTGCTATTTTAATTTGACTGTTGAAGCAGAACTCTATTTTTTTAAAATAAGTTATTGAACTCAATGACTACCTTTCTTTTACCTGATTAATAATAAAGCAGTCTCATTCTTATATAAGTTTAGGCCTTGCTAATTGCATTTTTGGATTATTTAGGGATTGCTTGAGATCACTTTATACATATATTTTTATTTTTTTAATATTTTAATATGAATTAAAATATGATTGATATATTTTATTTTGGTTTATATTGTAGTCCTTTTGAAATATAGATTGTTTTTATCTTTATTGAATATTAAATAAGTTAATTTATCTAATTTAGGCTTCATTTGGAACAGCTTTTTTGCTGTTTCTTGAAGCAATTTTTTAGTATAAAAATTTAAATTTTTGTACTAGAAAGCTACTTCAAGAAGTGGTAAAAAAGTCGTGTCCCAAACAAAGTGTTAGGCGACAATGATTTGTGAAGATGGTCGATGATGGTCATTTGTGGTTGTTAGAGGCAGTTGGCTTTCGGCTAGTCGTGATGGTGGTAGGTGATGATAGTTATTTTTAAAAATATTTAAAATTTATTTGAAGTTTTGTAAATTGTTAAAAATTTCTTAATTACACTTAGGTTCTCTCTCTCTCTCTTGTGTTCAAACACAAGGTGGATTGACCAAGTATTTCCCTATTTCGGTTGGGTTACATCAAGGATCAGCCTTAAGCCCATATCTTTTTGCTTTAGTCATGGATGTTCTCACTAGACATTTGCAAAATACATTTCTTACACATACAACCCGATGCATTCCTCCACTTCAATCATCCAACTTGAATTCTGCTGATAATAATCCCCCCATCATTTCACTCATCACTCACCTGAACAATAGATCCAAGATATCTAAAACGTGTAACTCTATTAATGACTTGATCGCGCCAAAGTCACAATCACCCTCACTAGGTTCTATTACTTACTTAAAAATTGTGCAACTCCATTATATTCCGATTTTAGATCTACTCAAGCGAAAACCTTTAAGACTCTGAAAAGTGACCTCTCAATAAATTCAGTTTAACCTTTAACTTCCCCTCTCTAGAATCTTATCAACAAGAAGAATATTCAATCAGCAAAAAGCCATACACAAAGGTACTCCTCTTTGCAT